TAGTGAGGCCTTCCATAGTGTGTCATCAGAGTCTTTCGTTTCCTTTGGGGTAGGGCCTAGGCCCACCCCCGTGTGTCTTGGCTCAGGGAGTATACCTCTATATGGACTGGGCTCCCAAAGTCCACACCTATTCTAGGGATAATAAATACTGGGCTTCTACAGAAGGTCCCATAGATTTCTGAGGTTTCCTCACAGAAACCCATGTTCCTTGGGTCTGGATCAGTCCCATGCTGGTATTCCAGCTATCAGACTGGGGAGCAAGAGTTCCCGGATGTTCAGGTCAGCTGTTTCTGTGTTTCACCAGTGTGGTCTGGACCTCTGTGCTCTTCACTGGTCCTTCTCTGCATCTGGGTTCCAGTTCAGTTCAGTGATAAGTTGTGGGTGTCTGCTTCTACTTCCACCAGCTGCTGGATGAAGGCATATAAGTCAGTCATCAATCTCATAATCAGGGGAGGGCATTTAAGGTAGCCTCTCCTCCATTGCTGAGATACACTTTTACAAGCAAAATAACATGATAGTGTTTGCACTAATTGCTGATAATTATAAGTTAGGTATTCCAATTGAAAAAAAAACTATGTGACACTTTTATTTTGTGGTCAGCAGAACATATTGCAATTCCATCTCAAGAAAAATTGTTTGAAAGGTATACTCCCTAGTTTTCTAAAACAATAGAAGAAATGTTTGTATTCCCTGAAGTTAATATTTATGGTATCCACTTCATACCTGCCAGTATCATATATAGTTACATAGCACACTAAACATCATCATTCATGTGATTAAAATTTGACACAGATTTGTCATGCACTTAAAAATTATTTTCACAGCATGGCTTTTATTCTTGTTGTATCTTATGTTTTTTACAGTACATGGTTGCATAATTACAAAAAATTGATCCACTTTGATGATACACAATACAGTAAGAGACCAGGCAGCAGAAAGCTTCTCCTTAGTCCTTATCTGTGAAGGGAATAATTCTGAAAAGTTGTCTAATTCTCATAAACCTGAGATGACTAAAGGAGGTCAGTTTCTTTGTGTTTTCACAAATATGTAGGTAGCATTCAGTATCACCTTAAACAGAGAAATCCCTAGGAGATGTCCAAAGTAATTATCATTGTCCTCATTTGGGTCAGATCAAACACCAAGTGAGTTTTACCCATGGGGCAATTGTAGGAAATGAATATAAGTCTAAATGAGGGGAAGACTGTATCTACACAACATGGATGTATTCACAGGAACACATTAGATATGTTTTCTTTCTGATCTGGAAGGAAATTTTGAGTTTGGTAAGTCATCTCTTCTCTCTGATATTCTTCTGTAAGTTAATTAATTCTTAAAATATTTCTGGTTATCTCTTTTTACCTATTACCACCAGGTGTGGAATTGAGAATGTTTTCTTTGTCCTCTAATTTTTCGTGGCCAATTAATGTATTTTCTCTATGTCTCCTATTCCATGTATTCTCATGTTTACATCAGAATGTTATTCTCTCTATACAGCTTACTTTGTTCAAATATTCCCTACCCCTTAACTGGATAAAATACTTTAAAAAAAGAGTGCATAGTAAATAAGATAACTCTCAGCATAGAAATAGGAGTATAAATGAAAGCATGTTAAGTGGAAATTTTGGAATCAGATTAAAATGTTCTGCCAGAAAAGGAAAAGTTAATGTCTGTGGGAATGGGCCCCCTAATTTGTTGTTAAATGTCCAGTGGTTAGTCCTGAAACCATATGCAACAACAAAAGTGTACTCAACTGATTGTATTTATATGCATTTGTGCATACACATATATACATAAACCATATATGTATTAATAAGAATCAAAGAAAAATGCACCAGCCACTTGAGAAGTAGCATGGGAAGGATATGTGGGGTATTTGGGAGAGGTTTGAGGAAGGAAAATTATGGGCTTCCACTTCAGTGAAAACATGTTTAAAAAGTCAAATACATATACAACAGAAAAACAAATCAAAACACATACAGAAAAAAGAACACACAACAATTTTCTAGATAAGGAAGCTTTAGAAGATACAAGAATATCACCTTTCAGGCATCAGTGTCTATCACACAGTATCTCTTCAAGTTGTGTAATTATCACCATACCCATAGATACAGAAATTCAAATACTGAGACCATTACAAAGTTTAGTATTTTGATAGAAGGCCAATCAATACAGAAAAAAAAACCAGCATTGAAAAACAGAAGAAAATGAATAGTTTGCTTTTAGACTCCTAAGATTATGCAGTATGTTTCTGTTCATTAATTTTAAAAATATTTATATGTATAAACCAACCTTAGATTTTCTAGAATTGTCACTAAGATACAAGAATTATAGAGATGCTTTAATAGATTAATGCATTTAATTAGGTCTTTGAAAATACTGATAGATCCTAAGCAAGAGAAGAGAAGGGTAAAGTGTCTGTTATGTTCCCTAAAGCAATTTGCATATTAAATGTGTTCTTTCTATTTATATATTTCACAGTTGCTTAAGTCTCAACTTAAGTGCAAGTAGAAATTATTTTAAAGAAACGTGATTACATATATGCATATTTGTGTGTAAATATATATATATATATGTATGTACAAATATATATTATAATATATTCAAATAAATACACATGCAAGTGTACACATAAATATATATGTATAGCCATATACTACACAATGAGTTCAAATGAACATTAAAATTTTTGGCCTTTACAAACAAATTGCTTCAACATACAATAGAATATATGATGAAATGAAACATCTCATGTATCATTTTACTTTGGATTCTTGTAATGCTTAATGATTTCTGTGTGTAAATTTTAATTACCCATTATTAAATTGAATGTGTAACATTGTTTAATCTATTGCAATATTTGGTACCATTTTTACTAGGTTATCAATCATCACTTGGAAACAAAACAGTCTGAGCAGCATCATTAAAACAGGTCTCTTAAAGCATGGTCACTCCTATGTATCAGAAAGTTTGTTTTAAGATATTCATATATTCATAGATGTCTGATAAAGTAGTGTCCTATATTAAATAATATTATAGAACATAATTTAAAAGGCATTACATGAGAGTTGGTTCTACTATACAGCAGAGGTTCCAAAGGACAATCTGACATAGCTCTGTAAGTGATTACTCTATTTTAGTAATTTCTTTTATTAATGGCACAGTTCTATCATGATCGTCATACTTGAGCTCAACAGACCTAAAACCAATAGACATGCTACAATGGAAGGGGGAAAGCCCAAGAGCCTTCAACAAAGAAACTTGGCCAACCTAAGGGATACTGAGAGTTAGAAAAGTAGACTTCTTAAGGAAACAGCACACCAATTGGCTCTCTAATTCCAAATGGTCAACCCTGAAAACATATGTACAAGAAGCATCATATAGACTGAGCAGTTTATATATAGGAATATATATATATATTCCTATATATATATGTAAAACACATGCATATATATATATATATATATATATATATATATGTTAAAACAATGACTGAAAAAAGAAGCCATGAATATTAAAGAGAACAAAGACAAGTATTTGGAAGAATCTGGAGAGCGGGAAGGGAGAAATGTTGTAACTATATGGTAATATTAAAAATAAAAGAAATATTAAAAAAGAAAACCAAATAATTCAGATTGACCAGAAACTTTTTGAAATGTTGAAAAAAACAATTCAAGGGACACGAACTCTTTGCTGTATAATCAGTATGTTTTCCTTAGCTATTTGGTAAACTTATGTGAGGCTCATGTGTTTACTCATCTGCCATCATGCTCCTATAGCAGATGGATGTGTTACCTGATATCTTCAGAACTTTCTTGGTTTTCATACTCCACCTCTCTAAGTCCTTGAATGTAAACTAATTCTGATGATGAAATCAGTAGTTTCATTGTTCACCTGATCTAAGATAAAATAAAGTTGAAAAGCACCAGAGAATAACCATATGAGCAGAAATGGGTAAAGACTATTCCCTGTCTGCCTTGAGAATTATCCATTAGATCAGTATAAGCATTCTGCCTGTTCTTTGATGTGAATAACTGTTGCTTACTGACAGCCAAAAGACAGCAATGCTTACTTGTTTATGTAATTTATTCTGTTTTTTAAAATAAGAAATATGATCAGTAGATAAATGAGAAAATATACTGATAGATTGATGACAATGAATTTATTATTCATATCAGGAAACTATAATACTTCAAAATCTAAGAGCTCTCAAGAATAGTTTATGTAATTTAAGATGAATATTTTCCATGGCTAAGATTGAAATAATTGTGACTTTTAGAGCTCATGTCTGAATATGCTTTGGTGTGTTTTTGGTCAATCCATTCCTACAAGTATTTGCAGTGGTATTTTGTTAAACAGTTTATTTGAATAAGTAAATTCAATGACATATATTTACTAATGAATAATTGTGAATCTTGTTTGTGTATTTCAATTTGGTATCTGTGTATATCTTATATGATGTTTTGTTCTTCATGCTTCCTCACTTAAGTTTTCCCATAATTTACTTTATAGTTTTAAGCTGAAATTTTAATTTACAAATGTCACAGAAACAATTCTGTTGATGTCCAATGAAATCATGAATGGTGCCAAAAATGGTTGTGTCCTATCAGACCATTCGCACTGATACTCAAATGTAACTCCCCACCAGTTTCCAAATTTAATCCTTATTTCCATTGTATCATGATTGGTAGTGATAAATTCCGACCATTCATTTAAGAAACCACACACATTTTTTTCCACATTGCTGTCCTGCTTCCTCATTGCTCTCCTATAACAGAAATTTCCTAATCTGATAGAGTCTACATGTAACAGTCACACCTGATGCTTCTCTTCATTTTTGGCTCATTTGCTTTCACTTGGGCAGCAATGTCACTCATATTTACCTTAGATCTCTTTACGTTTATGCCTTTCTATTCATTAAAGTTTCAAAGAAAGTAGAATTCCTCATATTACTAGTTGATAGTCTTTTTTCTTTATAGGTTACTTCTGAGGACACACTGAACAAAATGGATGGAGGCAATCAGTCTGTGGTGTCAGAATTTATACTATGGGGACTTGCCCACTCACAGTGTTCAGGTCTTACTCTTTGTGATGTTTTTGATACTTTATCTGCTCATTGTGTCTGGAAATATTGTCATCCTTGTTTTAATCATCACTGACTCCCATCTCCATTCCCCCATGTACTTCTTGTTGGCCAATCTGTCCTTCATTGATATGTGGCTTTCTTCTATCACCACTCCAAAGATGATATCAGACTTTCTCAGAGAAAATAAGACCATTTCCTTTTCAGGCTGCATGTCCCAGGTCTTCTTTTCCCATTGCATTGCTGCAGGAGAGATGGTGTTGTTAGTTGTAATGGCTTATGACCGCTATGTGGCCATCTGCAAACCACTCCATTACTTCACCATTATGAACCTGAAAAGATGCACTGGGTTGGTGTTGACTTCTTGGACAACTGGATTTATACATGGTATAAGTTACATGGTAGCGATTGTGCGATTGCCATATTGTGGCCCCAATGAAATTGATAGTTTTTTCTGTGACATGCCATTGGTAATAAAGTTAGCCTGCATAGATTCTCATGATTTACATACATTAATGAATGCTGACTGTGGGGTTGTGGCTGTAACCTGCTTCATTCTGTTGCTCATATCCTACACATATATCCTTATCACTGTTCGACAGAGCTCTAAATCTGGTGCATCTAAGGCTCTGTCCACATGCAGTGCCCACATCACAGTGGTGATGATCTTTTTTGTACCCTGCATCTTCATCTATGTGTGGCCCCTCAATATCACCTGGTTGGACAAATTTTTTGCTGTGTTCTACTCTGTTTTCACACCTCTCCTAAACCCAGCCATTTATACACTGAGAAATAAAGAGATGAAAAATGCAATGAAAAGGTTCATAAGCAACTTTTTGCATCCCAAAGGAACTTCCTTGTAGGTAGACTTTTCTTTCCAACTTGCCAGTTTCCAATTAACTGACAGGGAGATCTAATATTAATTGTCAATGCTTGGCCAATAGCTCAGGTTTATTAAACTATCTCTTATAACTTAAATTAACCCATTTATATTAATCTACATTCTGCTTTTGTGGGGCCAGAATTTCCACATAAGACATGACAAAGCTTAATAAAAGATTTTAAACACACAAAAACTGAGTCAAGCATACCTTTTTGGTAACCACTGCTTCTTTGGTAGGCTCTGTTTGCTAGCAGCAAGCAGAGGAATGGCTCCTTTAAAGAGAAGGACTTCCTAGCTCAGTGCTAGTGGAAAAATTGGTGTGGCACTTTAATAGGCCCTACTACCAAACACTTAAATGGGATTTATGAGCAGTAGGAAGCACACTACTTGGTGGCAATGTGACCCCTAAAACTCCACAGAGTTGGAGCATTAATTTAGGTATTGCTGGTACCTCCACCATGATGTCAGGCTTTCAGGAAACCAAGCAGGGTGGAGTCATCCACTAAAATAGAGGCAGAGGTCCTAGCCATGACACTTAGCAGTTTAAAGGCCTATGATGTCAGAAAAAGATTACAGATATGCAATAAAGACAGATTCAGGGAAAAATATCCTAAAAATGTACAAAGGCTTGGGAGAGAAAAGGAAAAAGATATAGGCAGTAATAAAAGGAAATGTATAATTTTAAAATGGTAAAATAAAGTCCTTAAAAAGAGAATAAAGTAGTAAGAAGGGACTTTGAGAGCCCATCCTACATGAAGGGATGCACCCTCAGCCTGGACTCATGGGTGAGGGCCTAGACCCAGCTCAGGATGATGTGGTGGACTTTGGGGAGCTCCTGTCGAGGGCCCTACCCTGCCTCAGGAGTGGAGGATGGATGGGGTGGGGGACGGGTGGGAGGCTGGGGAGTGTGGAGGGAGAGGGAGGAGGGATTGACATGTGAAGCAAGCTTGTTCCTAATTTGAACTAATAAAAAATCTTGACTCAAAATTTAAGTAAAAACATGTGTGGCTTTGGGGCAGAAAAATTAAGAAAAGATGAAAGAAAATGATAAACTTCAGAAGGAATAACAACAGTGAACCTTTCTTTGTGGTTTTTATTAGATAAATAATGTGCCATACTAAAATTTATGAATAAAGATTAATTAAAATTCTAATTTATCTCAATCTAGCACTAACATTTATACTTTAAACCATCATCTAATACTGTATAATATACTGAAATTTAGTCTCTGTGAAGACTGCGTCCATAAGTCCACTGATTATTTAAACTATTGTATTTAATCCAGTGGCTAACACAATGAGACATTTAATAAAAAAATATTTGTAAGTACACATATACTGCTGTTGGTCCATGAGGCTGCAAATGTACCTAAGACAACATCAACTATTGTTCTTGCCACAATAGATATATGGAAAGATGATGCTTATGACTAAACAGGATACTTTGGTTGCAGGATACAGAGAAATCAATCTCAATTTGACTGGGGAACTTCCTCTTATTCAATAGCATCCATGTTGCCAAAAGGTTCACAGGGCACAGGGGAAGAAAATACTTCAATATTGTTACCCAACTCTAGACAATGATGTGAAAATGCAAACTGACTTGGCAAGAAGTATCCACTACTGCAATAATGTCATTATTCTAATAGAATAGCCAACTGTATTTTGGATGCTTTTCCACAGGACAGAATTTTTCTCAATACTATAATACTGGTTAAACTCTATAGTCATTTGAACTTTAAGAGTTTCAGATCTTATCTAAGGTTTTTATTAATTCATTTGGAGTTTTTTTCAGGATGAGAGATAAGGTTTTAATATCATTTTTCTCCATATAGGCATCCAGTTTTCCCAGAAATATTTATTTGATATTCTGTCTTTCCTGCACTATACATTTTTGTCATCTTTGCTGAAAATAAGTTCACTGTAATTTTTGGAGTTAATTAATAATCTCCTTTTATATTTTATTGATTTATATTTTGGAAGGTACTCATGCCATTACCATGATGGTTTTTTATCACTATGGGTCAGTAATGTAACTTGAGCTCCTGTCTAATAATCCAAGGAGCATTCTATTTGCTTAGGGATGCTTTGATTATCTTTTTTTTCAAAATTGTTCCTGTTGGGGACCATTGTCATATGATGGGTGATTTCTTGGTAAGTACTATTCTAATATTGTTTGTGGTTTTATGACAGATGTTGGCTTTTGGAGTTAGGTTCTTGGTTGGATGTTTTAAAATGAGTTTTTATAACATTTGGCTGAAGTCCCAAGGAAGAACAGTGGGTGGGATGTTTAGTGAGATTTTTGGAGCAAAATGAAGAGAATAATAGGAGAGGTAGGAATGTATTCAGATCTGGTCATTTGTGCTTAAGGCTTGGCAGAGAAAGTCCTGGTACAGGGTGTGTTGAACAATGATGGAGTGTGTGGGCCAGAGAGTTGGTAGAGAGTATCTAGGATGGAAACTGCAGAATTTCAAGAGCCAGATTTCTTACCACCACTGGCCATGTGGTCTGGGTTCTGTCAAGAGTTTTTTATGCAATATATACGACTGCAAGATACCCCATTTCCAATACATTTAGACAGTGTTGTACATGTCTAAATTGCTTGCATGGGGGGCAGTTCCAATGACTTCTCCCTACATACACAAAATCACTGATAACTTTAGAAAGTCCACTATGTTCATTAGCTTGATTATGGAGATAATTTCATAGAGTATAAATATATCCAAACATTGCTCTTCACCTTTAACACACACAATTTTAATTTTCTAATTGTACTTCAAAAATGAATACAATTGACTAGAAGAAGTAACAATTCAAAGAAACAAATGAAGCCTAACTTTTGTAAGTAGAAATAAATAAAATTAAAAAGTAGATTAGTAAATAAGGGAACTGTATAATAGGGATTTCCAGAGACAGAGAAAGTCTTTCCCCCTCCGCCCCGTCTTGTCTCTTTTTGTCTGTCTGTCTGTCACTGTCCACCCCATGCTCCATTGTGTGTTGTATGTGTGTTTGAAGAACTGTCTCAATTTTTCATGTCAAGGATGCCAATCACTTGTCAGGTTGAGTATGTTGAGTAACTAGGGCAAAATTAACATAGCTGATGTTTGGAGCGAATGCATACTAAGGATATCTTGATGCAGAATGCAACAGAATGCTACCTTTTCTCTCTTAATAGATTCAAGTTACAGAATAAAAATTTTGTACTACAGATGATAATTTATTTCACTCACAATTCTACTGATATAAATGCTAATTTTACCTAAGAAACACTTCACAGATACACTGAGGCTAGTATTTTACAAAAAATACCATTACTGGGGATTAGCAATATCCACACATAAAATTAACCAAGTCAAAGTTGAATGTTTTCAATGTTTGATTCCATTAAGAATTTTACCATAAAAGTTAGAAACTGGAAAAAAAAATCCTGTTGTCCTCCACCTAAAGAATGAATAAATAAAATGAAAAGGTTTTAACTTTAACAGTAAACTGTATATAATAAAACAATTATCATGCAAGAATTACATTCACAATATCTAATCTATATATATTTGGCATATTCAGAGAAAATACTGTATTATCTATCTTATCTTAATTAATTTAAAGTTTATTTTTATTTTAGAACCACTCTTATTTACATATAAGTCCCCCCATTCCCTCACCCTTCCATCATCCCATGCTCCCCACCAACCCCTTAACCCACCAGCACCCATTCCCCAAGGATAGTGAGGCCCTCTGCTGGAGAACATCAAAGTCCATCACATCATTTCGGGGAGGGCCTAGACCCTCTCTCTTGTATCTGGGCTGCAATAGTATTCCTCTGTATGGACTGGGCTCCCAAAGTCCATTTGTGAACTACAGATAAACACTGGCTCCATTGTTAGAGGTCCTATAGACTGCCCAGACCTCCTAGCTGACACCCATATCTAGAGGGCTTAGTTAGTTCCAATGCTGGTTCCCCATCTTTACGACTAGGAATCCTTGCTCTCACTAGGTCAGGTCAACTGTTTCTGTGGGTTTCTCTAGCACAGTCTTGCCTCCTTTGCTCATCTCTCCTCTCTAACACAACTGGATTCCAGGAGTATGGCTCAATGTTTAGCTGTGGATATCTGTTTCTGCTTCGATCAGCAAAGGAAGGCTCTAGGAATGGCAACCAAGGTAGTCATCAATCTCATTATAGGGGAAGGTCATCAAAGGCAGTCTCTCCACCACTGACTAGACAATTAGTTGGAGTCATTCCTGTGGATCCCCTAACATTTCCCCTGTGCCAGACCTCTCTCCAAACCTATACTGGCTCCCTCTATCAAGGCATCTCCTTTCTTGCCTTCCTATATTCCTCCCCTGTCTCAGTCCTGCTGTTTTCCTCCCCCTACCTTTCTCCCCATTTCCCCTTCCCACTTCCCTCCTCTCTGAGCCCATGCTCCCAATTTGCTCAGGTGTTCTTGTCCCCTTCCCCTTCTTTGGGGGACCTTGCATTCTTCTCTTTGGGTCATCCTTGTTTCCTAGTTTCTCTGGTGGTGTGGACTGTAGGCTGGTAGTCTTTGCTCTATGTCTAATATCCATGTATGACTCAGTACATACCCTGCTTGTCTTTTTGTGATTGCAATACCTCACTCAGGATGTTTTCTTCCAGTTCCATCCATTTGCCTGTGAATTTGAAGATTTCATTGTTTTTCATGCCATGTAGCACTCCATTTTGTAAATGTACCACATTTTCTGTATCCATTCTTTGGTGGAGGGGCATCTAGGTCGCCTCCATGTTCTGGTTACTACAAATGATGCTGCTATGAACATAGTTGAACATATGTCCTTGTTGTATGAATGTGCATTCTTTGGGTATATGCCCAAGACAGGAATTGTAGGATTTTGATGTAGACTGATTAAATTTGCCCGAGAAATGGCCCTACTGATTTCCAAAGTGGTCAAACAGGTTTGCACTCCCACCAGCAATGGAGGAGTGTTCCCCTTTCTCCACAACCTC